TAGAGCGCACGAGGGCGCGGGCAACCGCGCGTGCAGAGCAACAGCGCGGAGCAGGTAGGGTAGGGCGCACGAGGGCGCGGGCAACCGCGCGTGCAGAGCAACAGCGCGGAGCAGGTAGGGTAGAGCGCACGAGGGCGCGGGCAACCGCGCGTGCAGAGCAACAGCGCGGAGCAGGTAGGGTAGAGCGCACGAGGGCGCGGGCAACCGCGCGTGCAGAGCAACAGCGCGGAGCAGGTAGGGTAGGGCGCACGAGGGCGCGGGTGAGACTGAGCGCGACTGCACAGGGTCCAGGAGCGGCGTCGCGGGCAGCTGCTGCAGAGGTCCAGAGGCGGCTGCTCCAGGGGCCAGGGGCGGCTGCTGCAGTGGCGGGTGGCTCCAGGGGCGGCTGCTGCAGTGGCGGGCGACTCCAGGGGCGGCTGCTGCAGGGGCGGCTGCTCCAGGGGCGGCTGCTGCTGTGGCGGGCGACTCCAGGGGCGGCTGCTGCAGTGGCGGGCGGCTCCAGGGGCGGCTGCTGCAGTGGCGGGCGACTCCAGGGGCGGCTGCTGCAGTGGCGGGCGGCTCCAGGGGCGGCTGCTGCAGGGGCGGTTGCTCCAGGGGCGGCTGCTGCTGTGGCGGGCGACTCCAGGGGCGGCTGCTGCAGTGGCGGGCGACTCCAGGGGCGGCTGCTGCAGTGGCGGGCGGCTCCAGGGGCGGCTGCTGCAGGGGCGGCTGCTCCAGGGGCGGCTGCTGCTGTGGCGGGCGACTCCAGGGGCGGCTGCTGCAGTGGCGGGCGACTCCAGGGGCGGCTGCTGCAGTGGCGGGCGGCCCGAGGCGCGGGCTGGCCTGGCGCAGTCCGTACGGGCCGCGCGCGGGCCTGGCGCAGCCCGTACGAGAGCGCCTCGACGGGCGACGGGAGGGGACCGCGCGCGGGCCCCCAAGACGCCTCGACGAGGCGACGGGAGGGGCCGGCTCGCGGGCCCCGAAAGCGCCGCGACGAGGCGACGGGAGAGGCCTGCGTACGGGCCCCCAAAACGCCGCGACGAGGCGACGCTCGGGGCCGCCGCGCAGGCCCCCAGGACGCCGCGACGAGAGAGGAACCCGTCGCGCGCTTCGGGGCGCACGGCGGGCAGAAAACCGCCACGCGCCCCGAGCGCGTGGCGGGAAGAAAAATAGGAGGTCGCGCGCCATGGGGCGCGCGACACACAGTAGGGCAGCGGAAGCAAGTGGGCCCACAGGCCAGGAGCGTTAAGCTCTGATAACATGTCGTGAATACTAGGAGTGGGGCCTAGGCTTAGTAGCCTAGGCCCACACATAGAGTAGGTAGGATGTGCCCTAGGACTAGGGTTTTGGGTATGCTAAGGAGAATTGGAGAAGAGAGAATGGAGAATGGTGGGTTGAACTAGCAAGCAGCAGGATACATATAGGAAACCCTAAGGGGTTGTACTCACTATTGAGCACCCCACTGCAGGCTAGACAAATAACATAATCTGACACTTGCACCAATTCCGGCAGCGTTGGTCGGTAGCCCTCCAAAGGGCCCAGTCAGTGGGACTTCTCATGAAGTTGGGCGAGGCAGCAGCAGCAGAAAACCCCCCGGTGGGGGGATTGGGCATGAGCTGCACCTGGGGGATTGTTTCGCAGTAGTAGAGCCCCTCTTAGAGCTTTAGAGAGGGGCGGTAGGGTGATAGCAGGGGTGCTTTAGCATTGGTACTTTGTGTTGTTTGTTGCTTGCTCCATACTCTGCATGTGTGTACCTTCTTGATCTATCAATACACGGACCATTAGAGAGAGAGAGAGAGAGAGAGAGAGAGAGAGAGAGAGAGAGAGAGAGAGAGAGAGAGAGAGAGAGAGAGAGAGAGAGAGAACGACGCCAGCTGATGTGATGGACAAGCACGAATGGAGATCGTGGAGTGAATCACTGTTGGGTGCGGCGCTGGCGTCAGCTAAACTCAGGGTACCGGCAAGCGATCTAGACCAAAGCCTGCTGTGGCGACAGGGAACGCTCCCGGTTCGGCTCGGCGGTTTGGGGATTATAGACCCGACATCGGAGTCACCAGCAGCCTACTTAGCCTCGGTCACGGCAGCACAACAACCCCTGCGCCAGATGAACCTACCTGAGACACATCTCCTGAGCCGAGCAACCACGCTACTGGACCATAAGTGGACACCGGATCCACCAGGGGTCAACCCGCTAACGACACTGGAAACGGAATTGCCGGCAGCAGCACAAACGGCCCTCAGGGGATACAGGGAGAAGCCGGCAGGCCAGGGAAATCTGCAGCTACTCCTCTCACGTCATATCAACGAGCGACGGGCAGCCGAGCTTGTGGCAGATACAATAAAGGACAGGCCGGGTACCAACAGAGGGCACATGGTGCGCCTAATCAGCCTGCAGGGGGTGGGAGCAGGAGACTGGTTACATGCCATGCCAACGAGAAGCGACCTTACATTTGCCCCTGGTCAATTCTCGCTGGCGTTAGGCTTTCACCTCGGCATGTCGCTGCCAGTCACCTTGAAGTGCCCGTGCGGCCGAGACAACTCAGACATTGCAGACACAAGCCTGCCGAATCACCTGCTGCGCTGCGGGGTGGGAGGAGACGTAGTACGCACGCACAACGCCTTGGTGTTTGCTGCGTTGAGAATGGCCAGGGAAGCAGACTACACCGTGTTTCATGAGACAACGGCTTTCTCACCGCCGGTCGTCAAGAAGAGGGGAGACTTGGCGTTCAGGGACAGAGAGTCCAACGAAACTTGGGTGACAGATGTGACGGTGACGGACCCGGTTTTACAGAGGAGGGATGTATGGGCAAAGAAACCGCCAGGGTGGGCCGCAAAGGAAGCTTTCGAGGCGAAACACAGGCTCTACGAGGGCCGCCCAGACTACGTGGGGTTTTTTGGGCTGGCGGTAGAGACCTACGGCGCCTTGGCAGCAGACACACAACAGTTCCTACGGCTGCTAGCCACATCGGCAGCCAAGAAGAAATTCCGCCAAGCCAAGCTCACAACAGCCGCGGCGAGGCTCACGGCCCACTACAGGCAGCGCTGGTCCATCATGCTGCAACGGTCCCAAGCAACATCGTTCTTGAACAAGTCCCGTTTAGCAGATGAGCCAGCCTTCCCACAGGCCGCCAGGGACCCCTGGGAACCGACCCTAGGGGACCTATGGACGGTGCTAGAGGATGAAATGGAGGCGGTCTTTGAGGAGTAGAATACGTGGAGAAAGTATACAATTTAGGGGTAGTGCTCTAGGATGTCCTGTGGGCCCTACCATGCCTAGCTGTACTCATGGGTGGAACCTCGACGAGCCCAGCTCGCCAAGATCCTAGGCTTGCCAAAGGGACGGCCGCCTGCTAGCTAGGGATGTTTAGTACCTCTAGGTCCATCCGTGGTGCCTCTCGCTGCTTGTCCTGCCTGTACCCATTTGAACCTATCAATGAAGGACTGCTTGAGAGAGAGAGAGAGAGAGAGAGAGAGAGAGAGAGAGAGAGAGAGAGAGAGAGAGAGAGAGAGAGAGAGAGAGAGACTCACCCTGCTAGCGCCACTTCTACGACTCCAAAAATATCCTGCGTGCCCAGGTGGCTGGGCTATCCTCCAATTCCTCCCGAGACTCACCCTCCGACCCCAGCAAGAGCCAATCACGGGGAGCCGCTGGACAGCTATTAAGGCCCGGCTCCACAAATTCCAGCGGGGCGAGTGGGACGAGCTTTTCGAGGAGGCTGGGGTCATCCCCGTCAGAGAGGGCCCGATACGGCACCAGCCCGACGAGGAAGGGCTTTGTGCCAGAGCTGAAGGTTTAGTCAATAAAGGGAATATCTCGAAGGCGGTTTCCGCGTTGAAAACTAACCCTCTAGCTGAGCCTACACCTGCAACCCTGGAAGCCCTCCGATCGAAGCATCCAACGGCCGAAATTCCAACCCCTGCGTGGGTTACCGGAATAAAACATTCTCACCTCGCAATCCCTCTGGACACACTTCGCGAGGTCCTGGCGAAATGCCCGAACGGGGTGGGAGCTGGGCCTTCAGGCACATGTTCTGCGAGATCCAGCTCTGTCAAACGAGGAGCTGTTTCGCCTACTCGCGAAAGTGGTCAACCTCCTCCTTAGCACTTTCCAACCTCAGCAAGTGAGGGACTTGCTGCTTCCCTCACGCCTCATCGCGCTGGAGAAACCCAACGGAGGAGTAAGGCCAATAGCGATTGGCGAAGCACTGCTGAGAATAGTAGCAAAGGCAGCGTTAGCGACCCTGGGATCTAAGATTCGTGCGTTCTTCTTACCGGTGCAATATGGGGTGGCGGTCCCAGGAGGGGCGGAGTGTATCATTCACTCGGTGCGATCACTGCTTCGGGAAGACGAGAATCGCGTGGCCCTGCAGCTGGATGTTGAAAATGCCTTCAACAGCGTGGAACGGCCTGCTTTCTTAGGGGCGCTTCAGTGGTCGGAACTCAGCCCGCTCCTCCCGCTAGTACGAAACCTCTACGAAGGCCCGTCCCGGCTGCTTGTCGATCACCGCTTGGGCGTTGACCACATACTAAGCTCCCGCGGCGTGAGACAGGGCGACCCACTCGGCCCCCTCCTTTTCGCTGCTGCAATCCAACCCACCCTACTGAGCATCGCCGCCACGATCCCGTAAGTGGCGGTAGTGGCCTACGCCGACGATATCACGGTGGTCGGCCCACGTGAAGCCGCTTCCACAGCCTTCACGACGATCGCCAGAAAATTGGCTGAGTACGGACTACGCTGCAACTTCGCAAAATCGTCGGCGTGGGTGGCAGTGGCGGGAGAGAGAGTTGCGGAGCTGCCGAGGGAACTCTGCGCCTCACCGGAGGGAGTTAAGGTGCTGGGCAGCCCGGTGGGAACCGCGGGCTTCTGCACTTCCCAAGTGTGGGCGACGCTTGAAGACGCGGCTTCAACCCTACCGCTCATCAGCCGGCTTAACCCGCAGCACGCGTTGCTGATTCTCTCACGCAGCATCTCGCGTCGAATTTCATACCTGCTACGCACAACGCCAGCGGGCGCATTGGGCATGGAGGAGTGGAGGGAGTGGAGCGAGGCCCTGGTGGGCACTGCACTCTCGGCGGCGAAGCTGAACATCCCCACCTCGGAGCTTGAGCAGAGCCTGCTGTGGCTCCAGGCGACGCTACCAATCCGGCTGGGGGGCCTAGGGATAATTGACCCGGTCTCAGAGGCCCCGGCTGCCTACATCGCTTCAGTGGCGGCTGCACACAAACTCCTGCTGCACATGAACCTCCCACCGGACTGCCTGCTGCACAGGGCCTCTACCCTCTTGGTGCACGACTGGAACCCTCCGCCCCCTGACATCAACCCGTTGGCTCCCCTGGAAGCGAGCCTCCCAGCTTCGGCGCGAGAGGCACTTGGTCAGTACCGGACGGAGAAACCAGGAACTGGTAACCTCCAACTCCGCCTGTCCAAGTGCATCAACCAGCAGCGGGCGATCGACCTATTAGGAGACACAGTCACGGACCGGCCCGGCGCCAGAAGCGGGCACGCGATCCGGCTGATCAGTCTGAAGGGGACAGGGGCCGGGGATTGGCTCCATGCGGTGCCAACGAGAGCTGACCTTACCATCTCCCCTGGTCAGTTCTCCTTGGCCCTAGGCCTCCGCCTAGGCATGGAGCTCCCGGTAGCCGAAGTGTGTCCGTGTGCGACAATTTCAGACAAGAGCCTCCCTAATCACCTGCTGCGCTGCCAAGATGGAGGGGATGCGGTGAGAACACACAACGCACTTGTGTACGCGGCGCTGCGCATGGCGGATGAGGCGGGATACAAGGTGTTCCACGAAACATCAGCCTTCTCACCGCCCGTGCTCAGGAAGAGGGCGGACCTGGCCATTCGGGATGAGGAGTCGGGGGAGACCTGGGTGACGGACGTCACGCCGACAGATCCAGTGCTGCAAAATAGAGACCCGAGAGCGTGCAGGCCGCCTGGCTGGGCGGCAGAGGAGGCGTCACAGCGGAAGCACCGCCTGTACGAGGGGAGACCCAGCTACATGGGCTTCTTTGGCCTAGCTGTTGAGTCCTACGGAGCGATGGCAGCGGATACGGCGCAGTTCTTCCGCATGCTGGCCATCCACGCGGCAAAGAAGAAGTTTAGGCAGGGCCGCCTCACCACCACTGCTGCCCGGCTTAACGCGCACTACCGACAGCGCTGGTCCGTGATGCTGCAGCGGAGCCAGGCTATCTCGCTGCTGTCCAAGTCCAACCGGGCAGCTGAGGCGGCGTTCCCACAGGCGGCGGCGGACCCCTGGGCCCCACGGCTGGGGGACTTATGGCAGATGACCCAAGACGAGTATGAGGAGCGGGAGGCTCCTACGTGTTTGCCTTTTCGCCAGGTGCCATTTTGACCTCCATGAGTTCTTGGAGCAGGCGGCTGGATGATACGCAGTCCTTAGGTTGGTAGGTTTTGGTGAAGTAGCTCCAACCGGCCATGACGGGAGTTGGGAACGTTTCGTAGGGGCGAATGCCGAGCTGTTCGGCCGGCGCCATGTTGCGAAGTAGGACTATATGCCATGAGCGACTCGTTGTAATACTGAGCCTTCACGTCGTCGGTGTCGCTCGTGGGGCCTGCGTAGCTTCCGTCAAAGTAGCAAAAGACTTGCGCGTTTTGGAGAAAGTAGCTTTAGCTCGAAACTCCAGGTGTAGAAATTTCGTCCGACGGTGCTGGAGAGAATCTTGGATCTCGTTAGAAACTTGTTCTGAGCTGCGAGCACGGCTTCGTCACTTGGACGAGGAGCGGTTGGAGCAGGAGAGTTTGACCCGAGGTCGAAGGTGGTTGGCGATCGGTTGCTCGGGCTGTTGCGTGGTTCCTGGGTTGTCATTCTTCAATTGTTGAATTCCAGATTCCAGCGTGGTGATTCGCTGGATGAGTTGCTCCAGAAGCGCATTGCTGACAGTCGTGGTTCCCGCGGAGTTCACGGTCAGGTTGGCGGGAGGTTCGGCAGTGTTAGCCGCTTGTCTGCCAGATCCTCCAGCCATGTTTCGACGGGAGCGCGTACCGGACGCCACCTTGAATTTGAATTTGAATCAAAGGTGGTGCGAAGAATTCTGAGTGGCTCTCACACCATGATACAATCTGAACAGTCTTATAAGATCGTCTCAGGTTGATCGCACGGAAGTGTAGCAGCGGAAGATTTGCTAGGTAATCGCGGGTACGGACTCTGTGAGAAGAGGGAAATTTGAATCTTGACAGAAGAGACTAATACAGTGTGGTACAGGGGTTTATAGGCGTAACGATCTGGGCACTGTCTCGGAGAGAGGCTCGGTGAAATAGACTTGTCTGTGAAGATGCGGACTACCTGCACCTATACAGAAAGACCCTATGAAGCTAGCCATGTACTATGAGGGGGTACATTCCCCTTTGGGCTAATCAAGATGCAGGTTTGCAACCATGCGATTCGGTAACCGTACGCGGTCCGGTAACCGTTTGTAGTTTTCCCGCTCTTTTTGTTTTTGAATTCTTCCTTCTTGTAACAGTTTTCGATAACTGTCTTCGCTTTTGTCCTCGCTGCAGTCATCTTTGCGCTATGGATTCGTTACTTAGGAATGTTTACTCAACTATTCCATATCGTAAGAGTGTGCTCCAAACAATGCTTTGAAAAACAATCTTGAATGATTTCTCCAGAAGGTGGAATGATTTCTCTTGTTTCTCTCTCTCTCTCTCTCTCTCTCTCTCTCTCTCTCTCTCTCTCTCTCTCTCTCTCTCTCTCTCTCTCTCTCTCTCTCTCTCTCTCTCTCTCTCTCTCTCTCTCTCTCTCTCTCTCTCTCTCTCTCTCTCTCTCTCTCTCTCTCTCTCTATATATATATAAATATATATATGTTTGACCGAAATATTTTCTTGACCTGTGAAAACATAGATAATATGTACTTTTTGCGTTGGTTTCGTACTAATCTTCATTATCGATTCATCCTCTGCCGGGAAATCGCGGCGCGAAAGCCCACATGAGATCTACAAATGCTGCTTGTTTCCCCACATAAGTTGGCTCCCTCTTCAGACCGATCTAGCCCTAAAATGGTGGTGCCATCACATCTAAAATGGCTCTCAAGCTCAGAAACACCATTTTCACCATCGCGATTCTCATCTGCCTTCACATCTGCTTCCCGAATCCCGGGTAACTTCTTCAGCATCGTAACATCTTTGCTTCAGGCTGCTTCTGGTCTAACCGTTTTGTACAGGGTCTCAGCAAAACGACACAAGATTAAAAGCCATAAGAATGTCAAGCTAACACCAACAAGCCGCGTTATGAACTCTGGGCCATCGATGGTGTTTGATGCTGGAGTCGAGGATCATATGTCTATTGATTCGGACGGACGCGGATTTTACATATTTGAGGACGACTCAGGAAGTACGCATGTTCTAATCGTATTCCAAGATCATACTCTTGGTCACTAACAAAACTTGGGTGCGTGGCAGCTGCTCGTGTGCGATCGTCCTCACGTTATCCGACAGGAACAACGTTCTCCGGCGATGTGATGATTCCTGGTGGTGCGACGAGCGGCATTGTGTCATCCTTCTACTTGTCCTCACTGGAAGGCAGCACCACCCAAGACGAAATTGACTTTGAATGGCTCGGCAAGAACAACATGCAGGTTCAGACAAACTACTATGTCAATGGGTAAGACATTCCTTCACCGAGTCGCTGCCGTTTTATGCTTCTCGGCATTTATCGCTTCGGAAATGTTTGCTGTGACAGAGTTGGTGGACACGAGGTGGTCATTGACATGGGATTTGACGCCAGCCAGAACTTTCATACTTACGCCATTACATACGACGATGACAGCATTCAGTAAGAAACTGTCTAATCTCCTTGTGATGATTATCCTGAACATTTCTAACTTGTTCGCAATTTCAGATGGTTCATTGATGGCGAACTCGTGCGCACCGTCTTGAAATCCACAAGCAGCAGTTTCCCGTCAATGAACGTTTATTTTTACTCCAGCGTATGGAACGCTTCTTTCATCAATGGTGGCTCGTGGGCTGGAGTTAACAGTGACCCTACAAATGCCCCTTACACCATTACCGTCAAGAATGTCAGCATCCAGTATAACTGGTAGACGACCAAATGAGCCTGTTGTATGACTATTTATTGTATGTAAAGTAAATTTTAACATGCATAATCTCAGTAATAATTCTTCAACTTTGATATTCATCTCATCACATTCGCATTGTCATGTACTAAAAAACAATTCAAGTCACCATGATACTGCTGATCAAGGCAGCTTCCCTGTATACTACTGTAAGAGCCCAATTTTTTTTTAAAAGGCCAGTCCGACTTGTACCAGTACATTGCGTCCTCGCCCGCCGCATTTGGTCTGGTTCCCTATGGAAGAAAACGGTCCCAGGGAGCTTGGGTGTGCAAAAAGTTGTTAAGTGCAGCGGTGTCAAGATCTGAACTTACTGGGAAATTAGGTTTAGGAGCTAGTGGCATGAGGGCGGCGAGAGTATCAAGAAGGTTGGGAAGGGGGATTGGCCAAAAAGGCGGATAATGATGAGTGAGTGAAAGGAGAGGAGAAAAGAGGAAGAAAAGGGAAAGGAGGAAGAAAGGGCGGCAGCTGATGCTGATGACTCGCTCCTGCCACCCCCTCACCCTCTCCCCCACAGCGGTAGGTGTGGCAGAATGTCTGCAGCTGACGGTGCAGGTACGGGAGGAGGGAGTAAGCGATGGGGAGGGGATTACGGAGGCTTGAGTACCCCCTCTGCCTCGGCCGCCAGTCCTGCCATCTCCCCACCACAACGTCCACTGTGGTAGGGTGCGGCAGAGAGCAGGGCAGGGAGCGAGCAGATTTGTTTGAGTCTGTTGGGAGGCCAAAATATCCATGTATATCCGGGGGATTACGGTAACCTAAAATTGCATCCCTTCTCCTACATGAATGTACGGTATGCTCCGGTAGTGTACATCTGATACAGTAAGCATCCGGGATTACGGTAGCCAGGGCGGCACCAATTCCACTGCAGCTGAGTTGTCTACGCGGAAGAGTGAAGGAATGACAGCAACAACACGGAGCAGTTGTCCTTGCACTTGCGCTCCCACACGGCCTCTTTCACCACTCTACGAGCAACAGACTCCACCGACACCCCTTTCTGAAAAAAAAAACACACAATAAATACGGTATCAGTCAAGTGGCTTGACCAGGAAGGGTTTGACGGATGAGAAAGTGCTTCTTTGAAGATGCTGGGCCAAACCCACACAGCACAATGGATGGTGGAGAGACATGGTGAGCAAGTTGAGTGCAAGCATGGCGTGCAACAAGAAGGTTTACCTGCAAGAGGGCTTGTGTGAACTTGACAGCATCAGCAGGACTGAACACCTGCACACAGGGGCGGTGCAAAGGGGAGCATGGTGTGAGGTGCGCATGGGTGACACGGGCAGTCTGAAGTATGCAAAGTGAGTGGACGAGGTACATGTGGGACATGCTATGCACAGCAGCGCCTATGGGCTGGCAGCACCAGGGTACTAGACACCCATGCTTCCCCAATGGATTACTCACCCCCCAGAGCCCATCACAGGCAAGCAGGAGAAAGCAGTCACGCGGGGACAGGTGAAAGACACTGATGTCAGGCGCGCATGATACCCCCGCCTGCACACACACATACATACGCACACGCACGCATACATACGCACACACACGCATTTACGCATATGCATGCACATACACACACATGTAACCGCTCAAGCACACGCACACAGTCATGCAGACGGACACACACACTCACAGGCACATACACACACATACACATGCGCAGAGATACACAGAAGATGGTTGTTTGCTGATTTTGTAGAAAAACACTGCACAGCTGATTCACTCTGGCATTAGCAATTGATTTTCTGGCCCTTACTCAAGACTGCAGCCCTATGGTAGAGGCGCAATACTTGCGTGCTTCAAGTTGTTGTCTCAAACCCTAGGCTGTCAACAAACACTATCTAAAGGAATACATCTTTAGGCAGTACCTTCTTAAACTGGCGGTCGCCGAAAGCACGAGAGACCTCCAAGCGGCCGAGAATGCGACCATTGATGACTGAGCCTCCAGCCTGCAGCTCAAACCACACAAGAGACGATGGGGGAGGCAAATGATGGTGGTGCTGGCATGACGGGCTGTGGTGGAAACACATGATCCGATGCTAGTGATCGTAAGCAGAGGAAGAAGCCCCTATGCCGGAAAGGGTTGTCCACCTCCATTGCCCTCCATTTCCCCCACCTTCTCAATGCGCTGCCTCTCGGCCGGAAAGATTGCCTTGTGCTCGCGAGTCACCACGATGGCCTTGAGCGCCGCACCCTCACTGCCCGCCCCACTGCCTTGCCCACACCCTGCCATGGGGCCTGCTACTGTGGGCATGCTGGCAGCTGGCGGTGCTGCTGCTTCTGCCTCCCTTGCCAGCACTGCTTTGGCATCGCCCAGATTGGCAACGAACACCTGGAAAAAGGGATGGGGACAGGGGGAAAGAAAGAGGAGGGAGAGGGAGAGGGAAGAAGAGAGAGAGATAGAAAGCTTAATCCGTGAGTCACTAATTATGGGCTAGGCTATCTCCTTCCTTGGCAAGCCACCGTCCGGCGATGGCTACTTGCAGAGCGTTGCCAGCATGTACACACGTTTCAGTACAGCACTAGGCAGCACCAGAACTACATGGTAAAAAAACTGATAGCACAGCATATGGACCCCAGGCCCACTACTCCAGCACTTGTGCTCCCGGCAAATGAGGTGGGGGCTGCCAGCAGCATCATTGGACACCCTGTCTCGCCCCACACCCCAACCAGGTCCCGTGCCCTACTTCCCACCTCTCTTTTTATTGATGAGGACAGCACGCTGGCGAGTGCAGACATTGCAACGCGTCTGGAACAACACCCAGAACCGCACAGAGCCAACGGGCGGCACTACTGGCCCGATGTTGCTACACCCCCAAATCTGCCTACAGCTCCTCTCCAGCTAAAGGCCGGTACTTGCTCAGGTCCCATCCCGCCCCAACCCTTGCCCTGCAAAAGTGGCCGCCATTCAAAAAGGCACCACTCCTTGTGGATGCGAGTAGCCTGCTGACACCCCGAGCCCACAAGGACCTGGCGTGAGGCCAAGCGGGTGGTGGCAATGGGGGCTCATAGGCGCATGGGTGGAGGCGGCAGTGCGGCACTAGGCTTCGCTGCCGACGTCACTCACCCCCCCAGCTGATCCACGTGCCACCTGCCATGCCACCCCCTTCCCCCTTGGCTCTCCTCTCTGACCTTGCACTGCATGCACGTAGTGCAGGAGGAGGCATGTGCGCTTAGGGAGCACATAAAGGACCATTCCCGGGATGACACGCCACACGGCCAACGGAATGCAAACTAGTGAACGTAGCTGACAGGGACTCTGTGGGAGCAGAGACGGTGGTGGTACAGGGAGCAAGGATGAGCACGTACATGTTGGCCCAGCACCCACACACACACTGCTGTCGCTCCGTCCTGCCAGTTGCCTGCATACCACCCACACAAGCACAAGCCAGGGAACCCAACAGACGGAAATTTGGACATCAAATCAGCAGGTCGTGCGTGTGAACTAGGCAGGCATAGCATGCGCTTTTCAAACTGCAGTAACAGCTGCTTTCTCTTGATGAACACTGCGGTGCAGCGAGGAAAAGATTATGAGCATACATGCAGAGGAGCATTGAGGTATGAGCGAGCACACAGAGTAGCATGAAATGTCCTGTGGGCAGTGCGGGCAGAGGGAAGATAAGGGATGGAAAGAGGCGCGCACCTGCGAGGCTCTCCTTGAGCAACTGCTCGTCCGTGCTCTTCATGCCTGCCCGCTCCGCCCACACACACTCCACCACCACTCACCACCACTCACCACCACCACCACCACCACCACCACCACCACCACCACCACCACCACCACCACCACCACCACCACCACCACCACCACCACCACCACCACCACCACCACCACCACCACCACCACCACCACCACCACCACCACCACCACCACACCACCACCACCACCACCACCACCACCACCACCACCACCACCACCACCACCACCACCACCACCACCACCACCACCACCACCACCACCACCACCACCACCACCACCACCACCACCACCACCACCACCACCACCACCACCACCACCACCACCACCACCACCACCACCACCACCACCACCACCACCACCACCACCACCACCACCACCACCACCACCACCACCACCACCACCACCACCACCACCACCACCACCACCACCACCACCACCACCACCACCACCACCACCACCACCACCACCACCACCACCACCACCACCACCACCACCACCACCACCACCACCACCACCACCACCACCACCACCACCACCACCACCACCACCACCACCACCACCACCACCACACTCAACCTCCAACCAGCACCGCCCGCACCAATAGACCCCAGAGCAAGCACAATGGCACGGATGGGTAAGTGCAGTGCAGACTTACGATGGTCAGATTGAGAGAAACAAACGCGAGAGAAGGCTGAGGGTTGTGCACGTGAGCGTGCAGCAGAGAGTAGTGGATGTGTGTGAGCATGGGCAGAACGCGTGGAGTGGCGTGGCAGCAGGGTGCGGGCGGCAGCACGCACCTTCAATGATGGCTCGCTTCGCCTTCTTGATGTCCACCTGCACGGGAAGGCGAGTCATGGTGTGCTTAGCGTGAGTGCACGCAGCTCACGAACAAAGGGTTCATCAACGTCCAGAAGAGCTTGGGACAATAAGAGGCACGGCGACTGCGGCAGTGGCGGTGACAGTGGCAGCGGCAGCAGCACCCACCGACTCACGTGGCAGGCCTGCCGCAATGACAGCGGCGTTCACGTGCTTGGCTGCCCACTCCGCTGCTCGCCGCCCACCATGCCCGTCCAGCACCGCGTAGAACGAACACCTGCCACCACCACCGCAACGAGGGCACACACCAGCCCAGCACAGCGCGATGCGCGCGATTAGCGGGCCGTGCAACCAATGTGTCGATGCCTCGCGCGTGCCCCGCTCCTCCGACGCTACCTGAGCCAGTCCGCGCTACGCGGTGCGTCATCCGCGTCGCCCCACGCGTCCGCCACGGCCACCACCACGTCCTCGAACGTGTGCCGGCTGCCGCGGTCCTCCGCCTGCCCCGCCGCCACCCGCGTCACCAACTCGCCGTCGCCGCGCGCCTCCCTCGACCTCCCGCTGCCCGCCGCCTCCCCCGCAGCCCCCTCACTCGCCCCGCGTCTGCCATCCGCCTGCTCGCTTTCGCTTCGACGCCTCTCGCCGTTAGCCTTTTCACCGCCATCGCCGTCCGTCGATGCTGTCGGTATCGCCCTTCCGTCGCCGCTGCCCGCGGAATCACTACCGCGCAGCTCCTCACCACCCGCCTTCCCTGCTCCGGCGGTCTCACCAGCCCCCACGGCAGCGGCTGTTGCCGCTTCGGAGCCGGCGGCACGAGAGCCGCTGTCGAGTGTCTTTAATCGTTTGGCGCGGCTGCCATTGTCGTCCATACCTGGCAATGGGAGGCTGAATGGAAATTGCTACACGTGCAATCAATTCCAGGACGTGTGCTGAATCACGTAAACCTGAGTCAAGCTTTCGGAAATATGGGACAAGATGGTGGGTTTCGAGGGGAAAACACACGGAAATTTTATGGGTAGTCACAATTAGGCCCGGTTTATCACGTTTGGTCACAGGGGTATCACTAAAAGTCACAGTACACTTCGTAACTATCGCGATTGGTCACAGAGCTATCACGGATAGTGTAAGGAAAAACCGTTTTTTTTTTTCCTTTCTGGGGTTAAATCAACGGCGTACAACCCCAACTTTCGGAAGTGCACGTTCGGCCACTTTGCTTGCTGCCGAAGCAACCTCGCGTCGCCTTCGGCTTTCCTTTGCCCAACCTGCACCCAACCTCGTGTTCCCGAGGTTCCCGCCTAGCTAGGTTGTCTCGCTATATAATCGCGTGTAACGTCAGTTCATTGAATCACATTATTTGTTATTCCTGTCGCTTGACCTTTGACTTTCGCGTAACCTCCAGCAACCTCTCAACCTCCGAGGGTTGACTCGCGTTTGCTTCGGTACTGCTTGCTTCACTTCTGGTGCGATGTTTCGACACGACTGAAGCGCTTAAGTTTCACTGTTTCCAACACTCCCCTTCGCTTCTGGAGTGTCGCTGCTGATGACGTGGCTCTGTCCAGTCAGCAGCATGCAGTACTCGAACTTCTGCTTTCCGAGCTTCTTGGTCAAGTAGTCAGCTGCCATCTCAGACGTGGGGCAGTATGACAGCTGAAGTCTCCCCTTCTCGATCTCGTCCTTCACGAAGAAGTAGCGTAGGGCGATGTGTTTCGTCCTGTTCGCGAAGCCGCTTTTGTTGGCAAAGCGAATTGCCGACTGGTTGTCGCAGAACAGGGTGAAGTTGGGTAACTCGGCTAACTTCGCTTCTTCCAGCAGCTCGCGAAGGTAGAGTCCTTCCTTGGTGGCTGAGCAGAGTGCTATATATTCTGCTTCAGCTGAAAAGAGAGCAATTAACTCCTGCTTGCTCGACTGCCAGGAGATAGTATCAGAAGAACTAGGCAAGAATGAATGAACTAGCAGAAGTTTGGGTACAAATATGAAACCCTAGTTGGGGTTGTACCCCATATTGGCTACCCCACTACAGCCTACCAACATATAACACATTACACTTTAACACACCCCCATAGGCAAAGTGGGGAGAACAAAGGGTCACAAGACCAGTCCAGCAAAGCAACGCAAGCCCAGGGTGGATCACAACGTCACCACACTCCGAGCACAAGCAAAGGCCACAAGGCCAGTTCACATGCAGTGCTAGATATAGTACAAGACAAGCAACACAGTGATCAAAACCTAGCAAGCAAGCAACAAGATATATATAAAGTACAGTACAAAGAATATCAAGCAGTGAGCAAGTGAGGAAACGTGGACACAAGGCCTAAAGAAGTACAGTGCCGCTGATGATCACTAGGCAGGAGCGCCTTGGTGAAGATATCAGCAGTGTTGGCCTTCGAGTCCACGTACACAAGCCGAAGCTGACCGCGCTGCTGAAGCTCTCGAGCAAGAAAGTAGCGAAGAGCAATGTGCTTCGTCCTGTGCTCCAGTCTGTGCTCCTGACACAAGGCAAGGGCCGCCTTGTTGTCACCGTACAGAACTGGAGGAGAACTAGGCCGCTCTCCCAAGTCAGTCAGCAGGTAAGTGAGCCAGCGTAACTCCTGTGCAGTCATGGCTGTGGCGTAGATCTCAGCCTCACAACTAGAGCCGAGAACAGAGGAAGAGCGGGTGGACCGCCACGAGACAGAACCAGAGCCAAGGCTGAAGGTGTAACCCTGTGACGACCGCTGCGTAGCCAGGTCGTCCACCCAAGAAGCGTCCGAGTGGCCAGTGAGGACAACTCTGTCGTGTCCTCCAAGCACCAGCCCCATGCCTGATGTACTGCACAAGTAGCGCAGCACCCTCTTAGCAGCCTCCTAGTGCTCTCGCCTGTGTCTCCCAGGCGCAACGTAACGAGCAAGGATGCTAAGAGGGTACGCGAGGTCAGGTCGCGTGCAAGTCATCAGGTACATGAGGCAGCCCACAAGCTCTGGGTACGGGCCACTCGGCTCTACGAACTCGTCCGAAGGTGGAGCTGAGAGCGAGTGGCTGGTAGCCAGAGGTGTGGCCTGTGGTGAGGAGAACTGGAAGCCGAAGCGCTGAAGGACCTGCTGCACCATGTGTGACTGAGTCAAGGTGATGGTGCGGCGAGCTCTGTCCCGGGTGATCTGCAAGCCAAGGTAGCTACGCAGCTCACCCAGGTCAGTGCAGGTGTGTCTCTTCTGCAGCTCCGACTTCACACGAGCGAGTGCCTCAGTGTCAGCAGTAGCAAAGACCAAGTCGTCGACGTACACGAGAATGTAGAACGGCGGCAGCGACGTGTCTGTGCGCAGAAACAGCGACGGGTCAGCAGTAGACGGCGCGAACCCAAGAGCCGCAAGTGTAGTCCTCAGTGTGTCGTGCCACTCGCGTGGCGCCTGGCGGAGACCGTAGACTGGCCGGCGCCGGCTCCACTGGGTACCAGGAGGAAACGACCCAGTAAAGCCAGGTGGGCGGCGCAGCCAGATCTCCTCGTGCAGGCTGCCCTGCAGGAACGCTGTGCTGAAGTCAAGAGAGTGAAGCTCGTAGTCACGCTGAGCAGCAACGTGCAGCAGAACCCGAAGAGTGGTCATCTTCGGGGTGGGGGAGAAGGTCTGGAAGAAGTCGACCCCCTGACGCTGACTGAAGCCTCTAGCAACGTAACGAGCCTTGAAGACAGGCGGAGAACCTGGCGGCCGCTTCACCCTGAAAATCCACATGCCATCGACGATGTTCGCCCCAGGAGGGGGAACCTCGTCGACGTAGGTGCCTGTGGACTTCCAGGATGCCATCTCTGCGTCCATGGCTGTCTGCCACTGAGAGGAGTAGGGACCCGAGATCGCCTCTGCGTAAGTGCGCGGAGTGGGGATGTCTAGTGCATCCGGGTCTCCCTCAGGGGCAAGCAACCAGGCCACGAGATGAGGTACAGCAGCCGCGAGAGAGTCAAAGTCCTCCTGCCTGTCCTCAAGGACGTCCGTGCCAAGAGCACACTCACCCCCGACGGACGGAGGACAGACAGACGCAGACTCAGACCCAGCAACAAGGCGAGCAGCGTAGTCTAGACGACAGGCAGCAGCAAAGTCAACCAACTCAGCGACCAGAGCAGACGCAGCCGAGGACTCAAAGGTAGGGTCAGTGACAACAGTAGCTAGGAGACGCGTGACAGTAGGGTGCTCAGCACGATACCGGTCAGACTCAGGGTCCGGAACAGCAGGCAAAGAGGACGCAGGAGGAGACGGCAGAGGGACACGCTGAGGAGCAGTAGAGGGACGCAGAGTCATGTAGTGAGTGCCTGGGACAGGAGGAGGACGCTCACGACGGACACGACGACCAGTGCGAGCAGTACGGACAGGCGACGCAGGACGAGACTCAGGCTCACGACGCTCTGTAAGACCTCCTGTGGGACCAGTGTAAGGAGAGGGAGCAGGGAGAGGCGAGGCAGGCCTTAACTGTGACTGCGGCTGGACAGTCGGAGGACACTCTACGGAGGGAGGAGGACAAGGAGGAGGAGCCTGCCCAAGAACCTGCTGAAGGAGCGGTACGAAGTACGGCCGCGGCCGCGCAGCGTCTCCAGAAGCAGAAGAGACTCCAGCGTCCGGGTCCTCAGCACCAGCAGCAGCGCCACCGCTCGGGTCCTCAGCTCCAGCAGCAGCTCCACCAGGTGGGTCCGCAGCACCAGCAGCAGCACCACCCCCAGGGTCGGCAGCTACAACTCCGCTAGCGCCGCCAGCTCCAGAGTCCCCAGCTCCAGCAGCTCCAGTCGTAGTGCGCCCAGAACAACCAGTCCCGGCAGCTCCAGTACCCCCAGCTCCAGCCGAGCCACTAGGACGGCGAAAGCGCCGGACGTACCAGTCACGAAGCTGCTGTGGTGTGAGAGACTGCTCAGCACCCCGAACCGGAGCACCCCCAGACGCAGCAACCCGAGGCTCCGTAGGCTCAGTAGCAGTACCCCCAGGCTCAGTACCCGCAGGCGCAGCACCCCCAGACTCAGCACCCCCAGACTCCGCACACGCCGGCTCAGGACCCCCAGTCGCAGCACCCCCAGGCTCAGCACCCCCAGGCGCCGAACTCTCAGGCACAGTACCCTCAGCTCCAGCACCCGTAGTCCCAGCACCCCCAGGCCCAGCACCACCTGCAGCAGCACCTGAGTCACCTGTGACCTCGACAGGCTCAGCGACGGGAGGAGGGTCTACCTGAGAGACACCTGAAGGAGCAGGACCCTGAGGGGGAAGGGGGTCTACCGGAGGGGGACCAGGAGCAAGGAAAAGCGGCGGGGGAGGGAGGGGGGCAGTACGGTAGGGGAAGAGACGGTAAAAAGGGACCGACTCGTCAAAGGTGACGTCCTGAGAGGCGAAGACCCGGCGCGAGGTGGGGTGGTAAAACTGCCAGCCCGGCGCGTCAGGGACAAAGCCAAGGAAGACACAGGGAAGCGTGCGGGAGGAGAGCTTGTCCGCGGACGTATCGCGGACAAGGGCACGAGCACCCCACACCCGGAAGCGCGACGCATCGCCAACCTCCCCCGTCCAACGCAGTGTGGGCGAGGTCTCCGGCAAGGAGACACGGGGCCAGAGGTTGAGCTGATGCGCGGCGTACCGGACAGCAAACGGCCACAGAAAATGGGGAGCCGCCGCGTGGACCAAGGAGGTACGAGCGACCTCCATGACCAGGCCAATGCGGCGCTCAGCAACCCCATTCTGCTGTGGGGAGTCCGGAAGCGTGAAGGTCTGCTCGATGCCCTCCGCCTGACAGAAGGTCCTCAAGAGGTCGGAGGAAAACTCACCACCTCTGTCAGAGTGCAGACGCAGGACAGGAAGATCCGTCCGGAAACGGCGGCGGAGCTGGAGACGAACTGTGCGGATCCAAGGGATCAGAACAGCAGGGACCT